GTTATTATTTTTAATGAAAAATAATATCTTTGAGAATAAATTGGACATCGAATGAAAACCTGTTAGCAGTTTTTATGACCTACACGTGTATGTCGCTCCTATTTATTTTTACTTACGCCAGAATAAGAAATTTAATAGTATTCCCCCACAAGGCTTATTTTACCTAAATTTTCTTTCGATGCCAATACAAAAATTGTAATGATTCAGTGCAAAAAGTCACATACACTGTCACGTATTTCGTCCTTAGAAAAGTGTTATTGTTACTTCTAGCTTAATGATTTGATATTATAAAAGCCATATTTCAACAGCGATCCAATTTCAAGCTTATATTGACAGAATGAGTGTTATTACATGCACCGGCGACTTTAATTAATAGGCGTTGCTAAGTCATTCTGCTACTGCACTGCATAGCAACATTCGAATACTTTCGGATTATTCCATCACTCGACGCCATTTCATTTAAAGAAATAATTAAATAATAATTAAACACCAGGGTAGTTAACTAGGATCTCATGTATGACTAATTTTGAACAAGCTATTAATATAACGTATGGCGTTTAAAAAAATACAGCATATACACAACTTTTATAATACATATTAGTCAGAAATTAAATAATAAATAGAGGATATTCAAGTTTTTTTCTCTAAATAGTCTACATGATTTATTTTCATCGAGTGGTATGAAAATAAATATTTTATGAGTGGCGGTAGCCACGAGTGAAATATGATAATTTTCATACCACAAGATGAAAATAAATCCTGTATTTATAGAAAAAAAAACTTGAACTTACTGTTTATTAGATAGTATTGCATTTTTTTGACATTTGAAATTTTGTGTACTGGCATAATTTAGAAGAAAGTAGTCCGCTAAGACATCAGTGAAAATACGGAAAATATGTTTCAGTGCACAGTGAAAATTTTTTTTTTGTTATCAAATGGTATATTTTAAATAAGTGAATTAGAATTTGGTATGGAAGTCAAAATACTACGTTGTTTACATTTTGATACCTTTCTGACACATCACTGCATGGTCAGTGCTACTTTTTTCGGTTGTTGAATTTGTAACATGCGCTAAATCCATTATAAAAAAGACATTATCAAACGCATGTATTAATATGGATTTCTGAGGCATAAGATGCCTTTAATCAACAGGAAACGAAAGTCTTAGTGATAACTGACGGCATATTTCACTAACAATGCTGTGACATAGTATCCCTTACTTGAGAATAACATTAGATGACACTTTTTAAGCCCATTTACTTTACTGGAAAACATAATCTAGAGATGATTGTATGCATATAATTATTTTAATAAAGATAGAGAAGATCCCTTATTAAAGTTCGTCAAAAACGGCAAAATTGAAAATATTGCAGACTCGGTTTGATTTGATATGTTTATGGATGGTACTATAATCCACGCTCTCCACCCACGCACGCCAGCACCGATCTAAAAAGAATTCAACATTAAACATGAAATGGTATTTTTTTATATAGATATTATGTTTTTGCGGCGGTTATGAAGTTACTCATTACCATATAAATATATATGGAGTAAATAGTTGAAATATATATAATTACTTACGACAGAGACAGTTCATTTTAATTTTATGTCTTCAATAAAATATCAAAGAACGTGTTTATTACCCTAGCATTTAAAAAAACACATTAATTAGTTGTTGATGATATATATTAAGACATATTGACCTTAATATCCCAAGTATTGACCTCCATGTTAAAATATAGAAGAACGGAATCTTTAAAGAAAGTCCAAAACGACAAAATTGAAAATGTTGCAGGCTCGGTTTGATTAACCCTGTTCATGGACGGTAATGGTAAGTGCAAGTCACCGCCCACGCCACAATAACACCGGCTTAAGCAGAATTTAGCTGCAATTTAGAACTGTTGAATGATACTTAAATATTCTAAAAGGTCAAGGACTCACTAATGATATTTTTGTAATAGTTTATCTCTAAAGCATGTATAGTCTGTGTTTCTCATTACGATTACAGGAAAACACGCCTGCACATTTTATCATTATTAAACCCAAAGGAAAATGCTCTGATTTTACTAGACCTTTAATGCGTGTATCTCCACTGTTTGTTATGCTAGACATCAACCGATAGATTATTCAACACTCTTGTGTTTTAAAAGCTCTATTATCTTTGCATAGGAGCATATCATTTTTTTGAAAGTTTAAGGATTAAATGTCCCATTGCGGTTGCTATGGTAACAAGAAATTGTTACATTATAAAAATAACATACCAATATGATAGGTTAAAAGATGCTCGATTAAGATAAATACTTTGAAAGATAATTTAGATGTTAACATTACCTTTTCACATTTAAAAGTGAAGATTGTGGTGGGGTCCTTGACATATGGTAATTTTACAAAGATACTTGTAATTTCATTATTTACATTTTAATGTAATTTAATTACTTACATTTTAATATAATTTAACAAGATATATTCTTTTATCATATGATTATATATAAATTACATAATGTTATTTGATTATATACACATTTTATTTTACATGTATATTGTAATTCGATTATATACACAACTATTCTGCATTTGTCAACACATGTACATTACCTGTTTCAGTATTTTAACTTAAATTAAGAGAAACGTAGCAAATACATTTAACATATATTATAGATATTTAAATTTATGCACGTGTGTGTATTGGTTAGGGATTTTCTCACACAAGTTCATGGACCACCGCCACATCATCCTTTGCTTCTATAATAAAGCAAAACACTAGTTTTTATAATACACCTTAATTACACGCCACAAAAGAGAGTCTGAATCGGATATGTAATACAGTGGTCGCGGGCTCTATCTGCGGGCTAGGCGAAAACTCCTTGTCATTTTAACTCGGATATTTAGAATTATTGTCATATTTCTCTCTCTCTCTGCTGATTCAGAAAGAAATCTTAATGCGGGATAAGTTGTCGGTCACTTGCAGATAAATAAGTAATTACTGGTTCGTTATACGGTGGACAAGCCGCAGGATTATGACCAAACATGTACTAAAATTGGGTTGGGGCGAGAACCCAGAAAGCATGTTTTATTTTCAAATGGTACATATAACGACACTTTCTATACAATATTGCTATGTGGTTATGTAAACTTCATGTTTATAAAATGACAGATATTGCCACAGTCTGTAAGTAACATTTCTGTCAGTTACATAAAAGTATACGTCATGTGTGTAACTGTCTGTAAACAATATTACTGTCATTTACACCGACGTAGTATCCTATTTAACGAGGAACTCTTTAAAACAATACTGATGTTGCATAGAAGAATACGTCATGTTTATCAAATGAAACATATGACAATGCTCTTAAAACAATAAGTTTAGTAAATGGCTTGAGGTCACAATTCAGAGAAGATTTGCTTAAACCTGAAACATTGCACACAATATGTAAAACGACTTTTTACGTATTCCAATGTCCAATCAAAACAGCAATAATGTTTGTTTGTATCAATATCGTTCTATCAGATTGACAGATAATGACCTTCAATGAGATGATTTCTTACACCGTGGAATAATGAATCCCCTTATGTATCTCCAATAAGAGAGTCCTGTAAAAACGTTCGTATATAATTACATGTACCGGTAGTGCATTAATTCTTACCACGCTAAATATATTTGATGAAATTACTGGATGAAACCATTAATTATTTATGGGGGTGTTTCAAAAATATTCTGACTGAATAGATCATTATTTTGGTCTGTTTGGAGTAAAAAAGCATGCTTGAAGTCACTGTACTTGTAGGTGCAAAAGCTAGACATTGTCTTAAATTACGAAAAACGAGATCAACAAGGAAGAACGGCATTAAATGAACTCATTTCCCATAAAAGTTGCGTGCCTATTTACCACCACTAGAAAGAGATACAGAGAATTTTTAAGAACTTCAAAGAAAAGTTATTAAGCCAATAAAATGATAAATTAAACTGTATCTAAAAACATGTTCCATATTTTCTTGATTGCTGACTTCTTTCTCGGATGCTTTCTCATTACAATCTGGAAGTGCTTAAATATAAATGAACCATTTTTTAATAATTATTACTACGACACTGTGAGTTTTGTTGTTGAAAAATTAGATTATTATGTTTCTATCAAAAAATGTCATTCCAATAGTATGATACAAAATGTACATACAAATAATCAATTTTACATAATTGGGAAAGGATGAAAAAACTGTCCTTGTATATAATATCAAATTTTTAGAAACCTAAAGGAAAGCCGACGTAACTGTAATCTAAAAAATGTATGTGAAACATATTAAGAATTATTTTCAAATTAATTCGTGGCTTTAGCAAACGTTTGTTCGTAGATTTAACCCTTGGTTTACTGATGGTAACAAATTGTACCCGTGCGAACAGTGAAAACTTAGATCTTAAATATTTTAACATGGTCTGTGCTGTTCGCTTTTTAGACAGTATACCCTAAAACTGGTGAATGGTTATGTCCAGACTTACAGACATTAACGTTGTAAAGGTTGATGATAAAATTTAAATATATTATCAAAAGAATATAACGGTCATATACTAGTATTGCTTTCACGGTGTCATGTTTTTTTGGATGTACGTCGCACGAAGATATTATAGATCATATGGCGACATTCGGAGGAAGACCTCAAGAGTCATCCCGTGGATTAGTTCAGGTACGAACGGGTACCTAAGTAGAAACACCGATGTTCGGTGAACATGCGAATTAACATCGTACATTTTATTACCAAATCTGCAATACCGTTAAGAGAATGGAATAATATTTACATTATTGACCACAAAATGAGTTTATTAAAACTACAAAACAAAATCAACGTCTGTCTGATTAAATAATATGTTAATACTAGTGAAATTACTATACAATATTACAAAATATTGATAGTCGCTTTAAGACGGTTGTATATTAATATATTATCAGAAGCATGATATTTGTTTTCGTTTCAAAGCCACTCGATTGTAGCTTCTGCTAGCGAAAGGTCTTGGTGAAAATGTACGAGCAAAGCACGGAGAGAGGCTATATCATTGATCAATACTGCAATTGAATTACTTCCCTGTGTATTGATGTACCGGCGAGCTTTCCAGCGTATAACACAGTGTCTAGAAAAGGCTTTATATCAAGAGGGAGATTTTCACTAATTTCACGACGGATTGTAAATTTTGTGAGTATATGCCGTTTTTTTGTTTGTTGGATTTTTTCTCCTGGTGAATAATGTCTTTTAACGTTCTTGCGTTGTGAGTTAAATGTATAATAATTTCGTGACGAGAAGTAAAAACTTTTTTGAATATTTTAGAATATTTTGTAGTTAACTTAAGGATATATATATATTTGAAAATATATATGTTGCTTAGTAAAGCGATTAACAATGAAAACAATATCATGGTATTCTAGATCACATTTATTTTTTATCTTTAAACTTATGTTTATAAATATAAAATTGAATTTACAAATTGCTATATTTTACATTTAAGAATTAAGAATCTATTGTGCTTAAACAGTGTAACATAAATTACATGTTTCAATGAATGTGCATTTAAGGAATCATTTCTTTCATGTGAGATGTTAAGAAGATTTTACCGGCATTATTGATTAATTTATCGTATTATTTGAGATGAAATAATCTTTTTTTATGATTTCCCTCAAAAACAAGTATAAATATAGTTAAACATTTACCGTTAATTCTTGGACTGGTTATCGATATTCAGCCATGGCAGGTTATCAAGTCAGTCAGGACAAGAAAATAACACAAACATACAAATATTTGCATTGCCAAAATTGAAGGGTCCTGAAATTTTTGGTAATAAATTGTTAAGGAAAGACCAAAACTCTTAATCATTATGAATCTTGGATGATGATAATTTCTAAAATAAAATCAAGCGAGGACGATTGTTATATAATCAGATACCAATATATAATATCATACCCTCCTAAATTGTCAATTCACCGAAAAGTATGAAATATGATGTTCTTAATGAATGCAGCAATGAACTGTTCTACATGCAAATGGTGTATGAGTGATTCAAATTTGTTTCCATAATACTAAAAGTATCGTAAGAATAGCAAGATTTTGACAATGACTTTTACTTACTTATATAATATAAAACAAAATACTCCTTAATTACACCATGTTACTGTTTAAAATGTAAAGAAATAAAATATTATCACTAAATAGTAATTTGTGTGCACTGGGTTTTTATAGCAACCTTAAAATATCTGATTAGTTTTAAGAGATTAAAAGTGACTTTTTGAATTACTTCCATGTGTACACCCATGTAGTTGACCCTTTCTGGAACTCGAAAGTAATAAGCCTTTGTCACCTGTATAGCGCCTGGCCAGCCTGCACATCCGTATAGTCCGACAAGACCCTGACCAGACCCTGCTCAGATTTTGTAATTTGATACCGAAATCTCTTAAACTTCAAATGGTTTGTTACAAATTTAAAAGCAGTGCAAATTCATTATTTATTATAATCATTCAAAGCTTTATCGTGAATGTACAGGTGAAAGTAAGAATAAGTTTACATTTTTGCCATAATTCCATTCAATTTTATCATTTTACTTGGCAAGAGCCATAAACAGATAAATCCCACGAGGCCTTAGGAAATATCTGTAATTTACCTGCAATGTTCAATTTATAAAATAAGTGCGGCAGTCTTTTTATATTTGAGGTAGATTTATATTTTATCATAAACATATTACAATATCAACTGTTGATCAATCACCATTATAATAATAGTCAACCTTTTTAATTATTTACTCAGTTCATTTCATTTGACAATGAAGAACTGAGCATAATGTCACTTTAGTTTAGCAGGGTAGGGTTAAACAAGAAAAGGGCAGGCAATATGCATTACAATAGGAAGTTGGACAAATTCGCACAGTCCTCTAACAATGATACATTTTAAAAAGTAAATGAGTATAAAGTTTTTGAAATGTTTTTAAAAATAAATCATGAAAAAATCTGTCAACTTGTTGGCAAATGCCTTTGATTAAACTTTATCATGGTTAAATGTAAGGATTTTTTTACACATGTTTTCAAATTATTTTGCTAGATCCAAAGACCAAACCTATACTAAATAGTTTTTCAATCACGTGTCTTTTCTTGTTAATGTTTTAAGACTATTCAATCCCAAGTTTAGTCCGAATATTGACCGAATTTGACATGAATGTATTGACATTGAAAGTATGGACATATTAAGTAGGTATAAATGTGTCAAGTTTTCCCCATGTCAAATGACATTTATATACTAGCTTTACTTCTAATATCGGTCACCATTTTAAAGTATTAAATAAAGCAGACATTAGCGTGACCATTGGTCTTATGCCAAATGTTTTTTTAAGTCGTCCTGGTTTATTTTTTTCACTTGCTCAAACTTTACTTGCTGTACACCCGTTTAAACGTGTTATGGTAACAAAATATTTGTCTTAAACGATCCAAAAACTACTGCATCAAGAAGTGTTTGCTATTTTGACATGGTTAAACACTTGCAGCTGTAATGGTTTACTTGAAAAGACAACAACAAAAACACACAAACAAACATTTTAAGTACAAAGTTAAAGAGTAAATCTAACACATATCTAAACAAGTGCATAACTGAGTCAGCCACAGTAATAAATGTTATACAATGGATATTTAAAATACTTCAAAAGGATTTATTTCTGTGTATTTGATGGGATAATAGGAACGTATGAGAGACTTTCAGCTGAACGACGGAAATTATTCAACCTCTTGGGATTGTCGAGGGCTTTTTTATTTCTAAATCACTCCAACGACTCATAATGTTTTTGTTTGTTTCATTTTGATCTAGAACCTCTATGTGGCTGTATAAATCAAATATTGCTCAAATGTTTTGATGTATAGAATGTTTTGTTTTTTTGTTGTTGTTTTTATAAGCTTTGTTATACGAGACAAGTACATTTGCTCAATAGTTACTGTTTAAAACAATCGTGATTAGTTTAGATTGATTTGTAATCGAATAATTATTAGAGTCTTAACCTTTTTGAATGATATCAGCTGTACCGACTTTCCTTGTTTGACAATCTTTCAATCTGGCCACAACCATTTATCATTTTAGGGAAAATATTCATTCCGAATATGTACTGACAGTGCAGTTCATGACCAAACGACAGGAATGTTCTGGATGATACTGGTCATAACCGGTTTCTCGCCTGTAGTAGGCTAGGTGTTTAAAGGCCCATTATGCCCCATAAATGCTTGCAGTGACATTTCTCAACAGATTTTATGTTTTGATGCCCTGTTGTATTTTCCAAAACGTTACTCATTGGCCAATTACATACACTCTCTTTTGCTTCTGTTGCTTTTTGGCAATTACTACAAATATATATATAGTGATTTAGTATTTTGTATGGAAGTAAAACTATTATGTACTTTGTTTACATTTACTAATAATTTTACATTCATTTCTACTTTCATCAGGTGATCAGCATCTAACATGCTCTTATTTAAACGTTATTAAACTAATGTGTGCCCTTTTTGAAGAAATATTTCTTTTTCATTTTTGAGGCATTATGTGCCTTTAATATTCTTATTTTGATATACATGCAAGTGAAACCGTTGAGAATATCGAGATTTGGATTTAAATTGGGAATTAAGGACTTTTCAAAGGCAAGACATAGCAGTTAGCACAAATCTAGCAGTGAATGTTAAAGGCCAATAATGCCCAATAAATGCTTTTTATCTTTATTTCTCAAAATCTCTTTAATTTAGGCCTACTTTTATTGTTTCCAAAACGTTACCCATTACCATCTTTTTCAATTGTTACTTGTTGGCAATTAGTTCAGTTATAGTGATTGAGTATTTTGTATGGAAGTCACAATGCAACGTTGTTTATATTTTGCCACTTTTATGGCAAATTATTGCACATTTATTTTCTAACATCTGACATACTCTATAGAACCATTTTTATTTTTAAACGTTATAAAATTCATGTTTGCTCTTTCTAAAGAAGTAAAAAATCACCAGTTTCTGAGACATTGCCTTTAACAATTATTTAACTACAACCTTCGTTAGAATCTACCATGCATACATTTTCAGAACAATTAATATTGTTTTCCAAAGGTATAATTGATTTGGGTGTATAAAAGGAAATAAAATTATAATGTTTTATATTGTTGAAGAAGTCTTATCAGTGCGCAACCGAAATTAGTATGCTCAATGGTCTTTGATAATATCTCAAGATATAGACCATTACCATAAAAAGAAATTGGTAGGGCATATTACAGTCTTAAAGACAAATGACATATTCATCTTTGAGTAAATACTTTAATCTCTGATTTTTTGTTGTTGAAATTTATGAAATTCTTACTGAATATGTCTAATTTGAATAAAAGAATGAATAAACTATATATGGGAAGCTGCATTTCCTATTATCGGCCAAATAGAGTTGTTCCTTTCTTTAAAAAATAACCCTGCGACACAATTATATTCATATCGAGTCCACATGATTTTTGTGTATAGAGTTTAAAACATAACAAATCTATTTTGTGTGAAAATCTATAGAGTTTAAAACATAACAAATCTATTTTGTGTGAAAATCTCCCTGACATGATGGATATATTTGTCCAGATTCATAGATAGGAAGTCCATTTAAGATTTTCTGCAAACAAATGCAATACCTTTCAATGAGCATGACATTATTTGCTTTATATCATGATGCAATTATATAAATTGCAGTTCATTACATGTATATAAACTATTCTTTCAATAGTATATCAACATACTGGAACTGGTACGATAACACAGCACCAAAAATCAATGCATTCTTAACGTTTTCAACATAAATCTAATGTGTTAATAAACTTGTGTAAAATTACTTTGTAATCATATATTCTAAACACTTTTTCAATCAAAATGTGCTGCAATATTGAAAAAGAATCAATCAATAATTCATAAGTACTATTAAATCAATTCAAGTGATACTGTTATGTATGGGATCAAACAACCGACAATATGAAAATGCATTATTAAAAATGAAGATATCCGATTTGAATGAATTATATTTGATTATATTATTTGAAGCCTATAATTCTGTACGAAAAACAATTGTATGGTATCCACATAGATATATAGTTATCCATTTTCTGTGTGAACTAAATATGTGTACTTTATGTTTGAAAAGTTGAAAACTGTAAATGTAAAACA